ATCTCTTTTATTAAAATGTTGCTTAATGGGAAAGTCGCCAGTTAATTTTCAGGAGCTAAAAACGTCGAGGAATAAATTGAGTTTATAAAAAAATTGAGTTTATTTCCCGTTAAGCAATATTTTCAACAGGTTTAGTGGCTCTGTTCAAGCTTGAATCTGATGAGTGAAACTCCCCGAAAAACTCGTCAGTTTGACTGTAAACATTCCCTAATCTTCCTTGACTGCACTTTTAAGCAAATATTTTTTTTTGGTTGCTTCAGGCATAATCCGTCTAAGGCAGCATCGGACCCGGGAAATAAAATGTCAGCTTCCAGCTATCCTGGCAAAGGTCCCCTGGACTTGTCGCCCGGACTTCCACATGCTGAGAGAAACGAGCAGTTTTTCCAGAGGCTGGAAAGCACCATCTGATATTTCCCAAATCACCACGGAGCGCATGGGCAACGTGTGGAAGTACACTGATAGTAGTTTATCTGGATCTTCCATATATTTTGGTAACTGAGTTCCAAAATTCGAGCTAATTCTTTGAAAATTTTGTAATTTTTTGAGGTGAATATGCAGCTTATCCGGGAGGCGGCTACGTTGCGCCTTTGGGGCGCCATTTGAGGAACTCCCTGATCAATTTGGAGTACTTGAAGAAGCACAAGTGGCTGGATATTCAAACCAGGGCGCTTTTTATCGAGTTTTTGACCTACAACGCGAACGTGAATTTGTTCAATGGAGTGACCGTGATTTTTGAAATAAATGCCGCTGGTCATGTGAGCAAGGATTTAAAGGTAGGGCCTCAAACTTCGCCAGGTTGATTTTTCGCATTGCATTGTTTCCAGGTCCAAACCAGGAAGTTTCTCATGATAGACCAGGATAGAGTGTTTACCAAGAATGTAGTTTCCACCATCTTTGTGCTGGCGCTTTTAGTGCTGGCGCTGCGAATCGCCTACAAGATCCATAGGAAGAAAACGTTGTACTTTTACGATGTTTGGGCTATTTTGGATATTGTTATTGGTGCTGATGGATTTGTGCCCTTGGCTTCAGCGTTTTCATCCACATCTTTTAGTGTTCCTGAGCGCCTGCTCGATTTATCTGTATTACGCCAGGCAACATGCGATCCAGATCTACATCGATGCGGTATCTGAGGCCAAGAACAACGATTTTGTGCAATATTTTCAGCTGTTTGCTGCGGATAATGTTTTAACCGCATTGTCAGCTACACTGGTGTTTGTGGCGACGCTTCGCTTATGGAAGCTACTGAGGTAAGGAAAGCGACACTAATGGGGTTCAAGTCGAGGCTTTTTTGAGCGCGTTTCAGATTTATGATTATAGTGAAAGTGGCCGAGAAAACCGTGCGGGATGCTGGAACTTCCTTGCTCTTGTGCTGGGCCTATCAACTGTTGCTGGTAGTTGCCTTTTCTGCGACTGGGATTATGTTCTTTGGCGGATACTCCCAGGTAAACTTTTCAAGAAATTCCACAGACAAATAGCAGACGTTTGCAATTGCAGAACTTCAAAAACTTCAATTCCGCCTTCTCCACGCTGCTGCTGTTGAGCCTGAATTTGTGCGGCACTCTCGAGTTGAACGATCTGTACAAACATCCGCTCGGCATCGCTTTCTACATACTCTACATGCTGGTTTCGTTCTTCTTCATCAACATCTACATTGCCATTATCAGCTTGTACTATGCGGACTCGAAGGACTTTTATGCGGACGAGCCGCGCTTTATGCAGAAGTTCGTGCAGCAGAAGTGGAAGTTTTATAAAAACCTGCTGATGGTTCGTGGAAGAAAAATGCGCGGTGGAGAAGGTAATAAATCAAATAGGGAAAATTCCACTTTTTGCACCCAATTGCTTCCAACTGGTGAGTTTTCCAAGCCTTTCAAAGGCTCAAAACCGCACACTAGGTAGCCTGTACATGGTTTCTTAGGATTTTTTAAGCGAACGCTTGAAAATGGTTGGAAACACTTCTAGAAACACCTCTGAAGATGCAAGCCACTCGTGCCTGCGAAAGGTCGAGAAGGGTTTAAAAGCTAGAAAAACTCATCAGTTTGTTACTTGTTGTGAGACCCGGTTATTAGAGGACAGACTTTAAGCCAAAAAAATTAATTAACTATATTGATAGACGAGATCAACGATGATCGAATAATAAAGCCGAAATCCGGAGAAAGATATCAGGACTGTTTCACAATTGCGAAAAGTCGACTGGATGGCATGGCTTTGGTGACAATTTGCGTATTGCGGAACATGGAAGAACATCGATCCATGACCGAGAAGGATTTTGATCTGATGTCGAAAACTGTAAGTTCTCTTTGATGTTTTAACACTAGAAAAGAACAACGTGAAGCTTTTAGCTACAACGACAAATGTTGGCGCAGTCGGAGGGATTCAACGGGAAATGCAAAAAACATTTTTTTTTGGACATTGTTTCAGATTAAATTGCTGCACGAAGATGAGTCGACAGACAAACAGGTGTTTTTCACCACTGGCGATTCGCGGCGCATAACATTTGTGGACGATCGGAAAATCCAGCAAATCGCCGATATTTGCGAAAACCTAGTCCAGTACTGTATGCGAAAAACGCGAGTTTCCAGACATTTGCCCCCATCATTGATTGATGAACGGATTTCGCGAATTAACACATTGATTGAGAACATCAGGATGATTGAGAGCGTTTTGGGAAACGTGCAAATTCGCCATAAGTGACTGATTTTGTTTCGATTTTATTTTGCATGGTACAGGCAGATGTATTGTTTGTGGCAAATACATTAATGTTTCTCATACCGTTCAGACAAGCGTGTAATAAACAGCTCAATCGATGAAGCGTCTATAAAAATATACAAATACATTTTGAAATTCTTTGGCGTGAGCGTTAAAAGCTTTGATTTGGAACCAATTGTTCTAATGGAACGAATCTGGCACATTCCAGAACGCCACAGGAAAAACCGCACAAAACCTGCCATTTTAATTCATTTATTTTGAAAATTAAATTTAAATACAAATATCGAAAAGACCAAATAAATCCACGGGGTTATTTTGTTTATTTTTAATCGTGCTGCAAACACATTTAACTGCAATATTTGCACCTGCCACTCTAAAAATATGTGTGCACACATAAAAGCTCTCAAACACAGTCATTTAATTAATTACCCCGCTGTATCTAACTAAGAATGTTTCAATTTATTTAATTATATGCATATAGAGAATGCTCACAATTGAAGGGATTTATTTAGCGGTTGAGCAACGCTCTGTTGCAATGATTAATGGACAAAGAATTAAGCTATCATTTTTCAACGAATATGGTAAAATACATTGTTTGCTAGGAGGTTATTGCTTGAGGCTTGCTTGAAAAGCGCAGGGAAAAATTGAGTTCATTTCGCGAATTTCGCGGTTTTTTTGCTTAGTACATATTTTTAGGTGCTACGATGCAGATTTCGGGAATATTGGCATTACTTTTCCCTTCATTGCCCTGTAGATGTTGAACTGTTAGTCATGCTCATAAACTGACTCATAGGGTGGATTGAGCTGTTGGTTCTTTCGTGGTTAATTTTTAAACTTTGAGAATATTTTGAGTGGCTTGGTGTTTTTACATCAGACTCATCTGAAGCTTTTCGATAAAGAACCGCTTCACATATGCAAAAATGGGATGCAGTTTTATGTTTTTTTGCCAAAAAAAGTAAACAGTTTTCAGTTTTGCCTGTATTTTAAATGCGAACTCGAATAGTATTTTTCGTTTCTGAGAAATTTATTTTCGAGAAACGCGGAGCAAAAGGTGTCCGTGACAGTTTTTTCAAATCTTAAGCAAAATTTTCAGCAGCAAGCAAAATGAGCGAAGTTGGAAATTTTCGCGTCTTTTGGGGCGCACTCTTCTTTACTGAACGCACAACTCTGAACTTGTAGAGTATTTTTCGTTTCTGAGAAATTTATTTTCGAAAAACGCGAAGCAAATTGTGTCCGCAACAGTTTTTCAAATGGTAAGCAAAATTTTCTTAACAATGAACGAAGTTCGAAATTTTGGCGCCTTTTAGGGCGAACTCTTCTTTGCTGTACGCACAACTCTGAACTTGTAGAGTATTTTTCGTTTCTGAGAAATTGATTTTCGGAAAACGCGAAGCAAAAGGTGTCCCGCAACAGTTTATCAAATCGTAAGCAAAATTTTCTTAACGATGAGCGAAGTTCGAAATTTTGGCGACTTTTAGGGCGCACTCTTCTTTACTGAACGCACAACTCTGAGCTTGTAGAGCATTTTTCGTTTCTGAGAAATTTATTTTCGAAAAACGCGAAGCAAATTGTGTCCCGCAACAGTTTCTTCAAATCGTAACCAAAGTTTCCTTAACGATGAACGAAGTTCGAAATTTTGACGACTTTTAGGGCGCATTCTTCTTTACTGAACGCACAACTCTGAGCTTGTAGAGCATTTTCGTTTGCGAGAAATTTATTTTCGAAAAACGCGAAGCAAATTGTTTCCCGCAACAGTTTCATCAAATCGTAAGCAAAGTTTCCTTACCGATGAGCGAAGTTCGAAATTTTGGCGACTTTTAGGGCGCACTCTTCTTTACTGAACGCACAACTCTGAGCTTGTAAAACATTTTTCGTTTCTGAGAAATTTATTTTCAAAAAACGCGAAGCAAATTGTGTCCCGCAACAGTTTCTTCAAATCGTAACCAAAGTTTCCTTAACGATGAACGAAGTTCGAAATTTTGGCGACGTTTAGGGCGCACTCTTCTTTGCTGTACGCACAACTCTGAACTTGTAGAGTATTTTTCGTTTCTGAGAAATTGATTTTCGAAAAACGCGAAGCAAATTATGTCCCGCAACAGTTTTTTCAAATCGTAAGCAAAGTTTCCTTAACGATGAGCGAAGTTCGAAATTTTGGCGACTTTTAGGGCGCATTCTTCTTTACTAAACGCACAACTCTGAGCTTGTAGAGCATTTTTCGTTTCTGAAAAATTTATTTTCGAAAAACGCGAAGCAAATTGTCCCGCAACAGTTTCTTCAAATCGTAAGCAAAGTTTCCTTAGCGATGAGCGAAGTTCTAAATCTTGGCCACTTTTAGGGCGCACTCTTCTTTACGGAACGCACAACTCTGAGCTTGTAGAGCATTTTTCGTTTTTGAGAAATTTATTTTCGAAAAACGCGAAGCAAATTGTGTTCGCAACAGTTTTTCAAATTGTAAGCAAAATTTTCTTAACAATGAACTAAATTCGAAATTTTGGCGACTTTTAGGGCGCACTCTTCTTTACTGACCGCACAAGAAATTTAAGTGGTATTCAAGGTGTTGCGCCGTGAGACGCGAGGTGTTACAGCGCATTGACGCACAGAGCGGCCCCAATACACAAAACACCAAACAACACAGTTTCACAAGTTTCACAGTTTCTGAACGGTTTGAAGCGAAAAATTTGGAGCGCCCTCAATAAAACGGTCCATATTTTGTATTTGCCCAGTTCCACATCTTATTTAACCAACATTGACCCGCTCTGCATTCTAAGGTTTCATTATAAATACGTTAATTTTTCCCATAACTTCTTCCACCTTTCTTCTTATCGACTATGATTTTTGTTTTAAATATACATTTGCCCGCTTTAACGCAAAAGCCTCCCTGCTGTGAGTAACATTGCTAAGGTGGTCATCATTGCAGGCAGCACTTGATGGGAAGCCGAAATGGGATCGCCCCTAAAATCGCAAAAAATCACCTCTTGCCCATCTTCATTGAGGAAATAAGCTGCAACTTACAACATTCCGATCACTCCACACCCGATCCTGGGCCCTGCGCGTCCTGTGGTCAACGAATCTTCATGTCCTCCTAAAACTCCCGTTTCTTCCCAATTCTTCACTACCCTCTCTTGGATACTTTACCTAAACCCAAATCGTCTTCGTCTTGATGAATAACCACCGCCCGCCCAATTATGCTATGGGGTCCGCTCAAAGAAATTACGGAATCGATGATCTGGATTGAGGCTGTGCCTGTTTGCCCACCATCGATGTTTCCCAGGTCGCCCACGTGGCGTGTGCTTGCATTTTTGCCCCCATGTGCCACCTAGAAGGTGCCATTAGCAAAATCTTGCGTTATTTGTGGTTGGTAGGTTCATATTTACGTTATGCGCAACAGTTTCTTCAAATCGTAAGCAAAGTTTCCTTAACGATGAGTGAAGTTCGAAATTTTGGCGACTTTTAGGGCGCACTCTTCTTTACTGAACGCACAACTCTGAGCTTGCAGAGCATTTTTTGTTTCTGAGAAATTTATTTTCGAAAAACGCGAAGTAAATTGTGTCCCGCAACAGTTTTTTCAAATCGTAAGCAAAGTTTCCTTAACGATGAGCGAAGTTCGAAATTTTGGCGATGTTTAGGGCGCACTCTTCTTCGCTGAACGCACAACTCTGAGCTTGCAGAGCATTTTTCGTTTCTGAGAAATTTATTTTCGAAAAACGCGAAGCAAATTGTGTCCCGCAACAGTTTTTCAAATCTTAAGCAAAATTTTCTTAACGATGAGCGAAGTTGGAAATTTTCGAGACTTTTAGGGCGCATTCTTCTTTACTGAACGCACAACTCTGAGCTTCCAGAGCATTTTTCGTTTCCGAGAAATTTATTTTCGAAAAACTCGAAGCAAATTGTGTCCGCAACAATTTTTCAAATTGTAAGCAAAATTTTCTTAACAATGAACGAAGTTCGAAATTTTGGCGACTTTTAGGGCGCACTCTTCTTTACTGCCCGCACAAGAACTTTAAGTGGTATTCCAGGTGTTGCGCCGTGAGAGGCGAGGTGTTACAGCGCATTGACGCACAGAGCGGCCCCAATACACAAAACACCAAACAACACAGTTTCACAAGTTTCACAGCTTCTGAACGGTTTGAAGGGAAAAATTCGCAGCGCCCTCAATGAAACCCCCATATTTTGTATTTGTCCAGTTCCACATGTTATTTAACCAACATTGACCCGCTCTGCATTCTAAGGTTTCATTATAAATACGTTCATTTTTCCCCTAACTTCTTCCACCTTTCTTCTTATCGACTATGATTTTTGTAGGTTCATATTTACGTTATGCGGATTGTAGTGGTCAGCAGTAGACAAACATCCGTTGGTCAGATCGCCGTACATGTGGACGTGAAACCCGTGCAATCCTAAAAAAGTTTTTCTTCTACTCACTCTCTAGTTGAAAATTTAAATTTTCCTCACCGGAAGTCAGGCCGGTCACGGTTCCGGAAACTTCTACAGACCCGGATGGAGTTTCCTTGAAGTACACACCGCCGCTTACGGAGTTGGTGCCATTGCCCTGTATGGTAGCTACAGCTTCTCTCAGCACCACTTCAGTTGATCGCACCTGGTAGATAGTCGATAATACCAGGCAGGTCAAAGTTAGGATCATTTTGGTCCGGTAGAAGAATTTTGCGCGATTTAAGTCTCACTGCGTTGAGCAACTTCAAAACTAGACTCAACTCACACGCATAAAATCGCTAATCTGGTTAAATAAGGCAGCAAAATGTCTTCTTATCTTTAGGTAGGTTTAATTTTGTACGAGGTTTTATCACAAAGGAAACATCCAGTTCTATTTCATATTTAAAGTGCCATGTCTTCTGTTATCTATGAAATTATGAAAATGATCGTCGTTTTGAGCAAGGGTCGCGCAAGATTATTGCAAAATTTCGTGTTTTTCGTCCCGTTTTGCATGTTTTTCGGAAGCAAAATGAGCAAAAACGCTCGTTTTTACATCATTCCAGAGATAACTAAATGGCCTTAATTCGAAGTTTCTCAAGAACCATTCGAGCCACAGAATTCGTTTTGGCATCGTTGGATAGAGAATTGAAAAGTCCATTCAGTCGTAACAACGTTAAT